CCTGCCACTTCTGGTATATGGGACTGGCGCCCTACCCTTTTGAGCCACAGGCGCAGCCCAATACTTAAGTTTCTTTTTCTTTCTTTTTTTTTTGAGACAGAGTCTCAAGCTGTCATCCTTGGTACAATGCTGTGGCATAGCTCACAGCAACCTCCAACTCTTGGGCTCAAGTGATCCTCTTGCCTCAGTTGTTCTATTTTTAGCAGAGATGGAGTCTCGCTCTTGTTCAGGCTGGTCTCAAACTCACAAATGCAAGCTGTCCACCCACCTGGGCCTCCCAGAATGCTAAGATTACAGGCGTCAGTCACCATGCCTAGCCAATACTCAAGATTCAAACAAACTTAAAATTTCTTTATAAACTCTAAGGTACTTATTTCTTTACAGATTATATAACATTAGATAAATACACTGAGCTAAACAACCATAGGTTTGAGATCTGGCTCTGTCACTTATGACTTGTACGATCTGAGGTACACAACTTAATTCTGTCCCAGCTCCCTTCTAAGGAATGCTAAAAAAATGGCCTTATGTTGTCATTCAGTATCAATCACTGCTGGATTATGTTTTCTTTCTTTCTTTCTTTCTTTTTGGTTTGTTTTTAAAGAGATAAGAGTCTCACTTTGTTGCCCAAACTGGAGTACAGTGGCACAATCATTCACTATAACCTTGAACTCCTGGGCTGAAGCAATTCTCTTGACTCAGCCTCCTTAGTACCTGGAACTATAGAAGCATGCCATCATACATGGCTACGTTTCTGATATTTTTTGTAGAGACAGGATCTCATTATGTTGCCAAGGCCTGTCTTGAATTCCTGACCTCAAGCGTTCCTCTCAGTTCAGCCTCCCAAAGTGTTAGGATTACAGGAGTGAGCCAATGTGACCCAGCACCAGTGAAGTCATGAAAAAGGAGATTCAGAGCAGCATTTTCTTGCTTATGGCTTCTTTGTATAGTTTTTGGTGATTAAATGAGGAAATCTACTTAGCGTGCTTTAGCACAGTGACTAAACCAATAAATGTACACAAAGCCAAATAGCTTAGCAATTTTTTTACAAGCCGGGGTCTTGCTATGTTAATGAGACTAGAGTGCAGTGGCTATTCAAAAGCATGATCATAGCGAACTGCAGCATCTAACTCTGAAGGCACAATCAATCCTGTCAGCCTTCTGAGTAATTGGGACTATAGGTGTCTGCCACTAAATCCTAAGAATTTTACAGTTGCTGACTGCTGGTCTGCATGAATGGAGGCATATACTTACCATTTATTATGTTCTAGACACTATGCCAAGCACATGCTATGATTCTTTCATTAAATACCCATACCTGTTCTAAACAGAAATCACTGGTAGGAAAACAGTCATACCTTTGCTTACCTATAGAGAAAGACAGAATGCTAGTGGTGGGGTGGGCAAAATTTGTCTTCATTGTTCACAGAATGAATGAGTACTATTTTGAAGTTCAAAGAGCCTATTTTGCCCAAGTTGGTCCTCACTTCCTAAAACAGTAGAACCTCTATAGTTGACCACCAACCTACACTGACCAACTCCCTAAAGTGGACAAATTTTCATAGACTGGATATATACCACAGGTACATACCAGTATAGCAGGCCTAGTTCCTTATGTTGACTAGTTTGTTATATATAGTCCTGTGGGTATAACAAACTTATACACTGTATAAGTTTACTGTACACTGTACTTATACCACCCCCACTGAATCCTGCCCACCCGTCCACCCCTGGAACCCAAGTTGGCCCATGTATCCAAGAGAATACAGCAGAAGTGATGGGATGTGACTTCTATGTTTAGGTCATACAAGATACTGCAGCTTCCATTTTGAATACTTTTTTTTTTTTTTTTTTGCAGTTTTTGGCCAGGGCTGGGTTTAAAACCCCCACCTCCATGGGGCTGGCACGCTACTCCTTTGAGCTACAAGCACTGCCCCATTTTGAATATTTTTTTATACTCTTCTGGTTTATCACTCAGAAACCATGTGAGATAATAGATACTTGTTTTCAGTCAATAAATGTTGGGACAATTTTTTACATAACAATAAATAAAATAATAAAGTTGGATTACATATATTCACTGGGTAAGGCTATAGACTCTCCCACACAAAGAATTTTTCTGCCAGAAAGGCCCCGACACTGACTGTTAAAAAAAAGAAAATAAAGGCTGACTATCAAAAATTCAAGCAGAGGAATCTTGTATGTTTCATAGAGTCAGCAGAATACTTTTTTAGCATTTTTGATTATGCTTTTTATTCAGAGATTATCTTATAAAATATTTTGTGTTCTCTGATTAGAACTTAATATTTACAAAAAGTCAAAAGAAAAATAATAGTGGAGTTGCATGTGGGTCGTTATGGAAGTTTTGATATACACAAAAATTAAGAAACATAAATCTGGGTTCAGTGCCTGTAGCTCAAGCGGCTAGGACACCAGTCACATACACTGGAGCTGGTGTGTTCGAATCCTGCCTGGGCCCGCCAAACAACAATGACAACTACAATCAAAAAATAGATGGGCACTGTGGTGGGCGCCTGTAGTCCCAACTACTAGGGAGATTAAGGCAAGAGACTCGCTTAAGCCCAAGAGTTTGAGGTTGCTGTGAGCTGTGATGCCACAGCATTCTACCCAGGGCAACAGCTTGAGTATTTTTCTCAAAAAACAACAACAACAACAGGACGGCACCTGTGGCTCAAAGGAGTAGGGCACTGGCCCCATATGCCGGAGGTGGAGGGTTCAAACTCTGCCCTGGCCAAAAACTGCAAAATAAATAAATAAATAAAATAATTAAAACAACAACAACAACAACAACAACAAAACCAAGAAACATAAATTTGCACTGATGGGAACAAATGAAGCCCTCCCAGCAACACCAAAAAGCCAAGCTAATCTAAATTTGCATGAGTGAATAAGAAAGGATGCTGCTGACTACGTTTCTTGGAAGTGAAATAATGGAACATACATAACACAGTCTGTCTCAAAACTTTCACAATGACCCATGTATGAGATAAATAATTAGGCTCAGTGCCTGTGGCTCAAGCGGCTAAGGCACCAGCCACATACACCTGAGCTGGCGGGTTTGAATCCAGCCTAGGCCCACCAAACAACAATGATGGCTGCAACCAAAAAATAGCCGGGCGTTGTGGCGGGTGCCTATAGTCCCAGCTACTTGGG